CCCCCCCCAAAGCCCCTCAGGTGACTGACACAGAGTGAATTGTCGTTGTGGCTGGTGTGCTACTAACTGCTGACGAGTTTGTAGCCATTGCAGCTAGTTGCAGCCACTCCAGTTAAGTGTTCCTGGTTTACTATTTTGGCCTTTCATTTTGTTTTGTTTTTCATTTTTAAGAGCCTGCAATGGGCTAAGTTAGTAAGCTATGGATAGGGAAAAATAAGCTATCCACAATTCATTCAAAGGGAAGGGAAGAGAAATGTTAGAAGGTCCTACATCGCTTGTCTCAATTCTTAGGATGTAGATTATATAGCTGTTGGAAAATTTCACTTAATGCCAATTGGTTTAAAGATAAAATCCAACATGGTATCAAAGTTTATAGTCCATCTTGGTAAAGAGCCTATTTTGGTAAGCTCCCCTGTTCTGGCAAGCATTTGGGGAAGGAGATATTCGAAGGTCCCCACATTATTTACCTCAATTCTTGGGTGCAACTTATATATCTAATAGGCAACTTCAATTGATGCCAATTAGTTTTAAGATAAAATCTAACAAGTACAAAGAAGTATTTGCCATAATTGATAGAAGATGAGTGTGTCAAATTCATCATCCATGGCCTTCAACAGGTCATTGCCTCAATCCCCCATACTTTTATGGCAATCCAAGAATTTAAAATGTCTACTTTGACTCCTTGTATAGTTTTAAATGATCATGAATTTCATGACATAATTGAATGTCAATGCTAATAAGTTGTTGTGTTGTAGCTGAATGGTGGAGGAACTATCGATCACATACTCCAGATTTACAAAAGATTGCCACTGAAGTGTTGAATTTGATTTGTAGTTCATTAGGTTGAGAGGAATTGGAGTACCTTTCAGCATGTAAGTAATTCTCAATTATCAAATTACTTCATTTGAGTTTCATGTAAGAATATGAAACTAACATTTTCTTTATAATATAAACAGAAAAGTAAACTTGAGCATCAAAGGTTGCAAGATTTGGTTTATGTAAAATATAACCAAGCACTTAAGAGAAAAATTGATAACAATGATGTGAAAGATCCCACTGTCTTGAATGATGTTGATCAAAGCAATGAATGGTTATTAGCGGAAATGGCCAATGATGAAGCTGTCCAAGAAAATGAATTAGTGTTTGATGATTTGACTTGGAGAGCTGTGGCAGCTGCAACTGAGGCCGGGGAGCCTACTACATATACTAGGTAGCATACAAGAGCAAAGAAGGCAGTTGTAACTGAAACTTCTAGTTCTAGGTCTCTTACCTGAAGGAAGAGGAAACCAAGCACTAGAGCGAGAAGAGTAAGATAGTGGTGATAGTGAAGAGAAGAGATCTACAAGAGTGGTGAAAGCAATGAAGATGAGAAAGAGATGCCTGACATTGCAACTAAAGATAAATTTGAATGTTCAGTAGTTTCTCTAGCCTTTAAACCTTAAAGTAGTTTAATTTCCTTTATTGTAATTGACAATTTCACAAGGTATTTGCTATTAATATAAATCTACTTGGGAATCAAAATAGCAGTCATTCCGCTCTATCCGCGATCTGCTATAATGTTTTGTGGGTGGTTGCTCTGCACCACTATCCGCTATTGTCTACTATGATTGTAGAACCTTGATATACTCTTTTTAAATTGCTGCTTGCCTTTTTGGTGAATATCATTGATCTATGTAATTAACATAGTAGTCAATAAAGGGCAGAGGTGTGGAGAAAATGCCTCAAAAAACGCAACAGCAAGATAATGAATAGCAAGATGACTGCTATTTTGATCCCATGTAAATTTATATTACATAACGTATTTAATAAATATAAATGCTGAAAAGTAAAGAATAGTAGTCAATAAAGGGCAGAGGCGTGGAACAACTGCCTCAAAAAAGGCTATAGCAAGATAATGAATAGCAAGATGACTTCTAATTTGATCCCATGTAAATTTAGATTACACAACGTATTTAATATATATAAGTACTGAAAAATAAAGAAAAACACCTAAAGTTCAACATATTTATTAAGACTTGAAGTTTCATAACCAAAAGGTTCAAAATAACAAACACCATTCAAACTTGTCAATTAGAATAAAGGAAAACAAATCAAACGTGTTGAGAGACAAAAGGTGGCTGGTCAGATGAATCCATTGTGGCTGAACAGAAAACACAGAAGAAAGAGAGATGCAGAACAGAACATGTTGAAAACTCGCTGGGAGTTGCAGAACAACTCTGTCATCAAAAAACTTGCCAGAAATTGAAGATAGAGACTAGGTTGGCTAACAAGAGGCACAAGGACAGAAATTTGTTGTCGAAATTAATAAAGGAAGCAAGACATTCACCAAGAGAGGTTTAGGGTTCTAGGAGTAGGGGAGAGAGTAAAAATCTTGGGTTTGAGATTGAGTGGTCAGATTAAAGACCCACACATTTATGCATTTTACCCCTTAAAAAACCTCTAAAAAGACACTAGTTTCAGGGGTATTTTTGCCCTTTGATATATATACCAACTAGAGGGGGATTTCAAAGTCTGTTAGGAATTAACGGTTAGAGCTTAGAAAGTTAAGGAAGATTTTTAGTTAGAATAAAATATGAATCTGCTGATTCAGTTGTTAGATAGGCTGTTTTCACCCCTTGTTTTGCTCCTTTAATTTTTCCTTACATATAAGCATGTTGGTTACCTCTCTTTAACCAGTTCTGAAATATGCATGGAAACATGATACATATGAGAATATATGTTTTCTCCCTAAACCGGCAGTAATCTTATATTTTACCATCTCTTACATGATAAAGCTTTGCAACAATAGCCACCACCTCATCCCACTAGGATGATAATCCTATAGCTTTAAAAAAACATACAGGAAGCTTCAAATATTAAAATTTCACATTTAATGTCAATGCAAAATAATATTAATATTAAAAACAACATAATAAAGTACATGCATGATATATTAAACATTAATTCCAGTTTGACCACAATTTGGCCATAATTGAACCACTAAACCATGAATCAGTCCATTTACTGGCTTATGGGCTTGTTTTAGAATATAGAATTTGTAAGCTATAACTTTTACTAGACTATCTGCATTAAATTAACAAGAAGAAACTTCACAGCAATTTTGGCTGAAAAAATGGTGAACAGTGAAAACAGAATATGAAAGATGGTATCGAATTCTCTCACCTGATTAGACAATGGTACCTGTCTAGACACATCCCAAACAATAATTGCGTTCTCACTGATATTACTCTGTGATACATCACTAGAAGAAATGAATTCCTTCCCGGTCAATGTAAACTCCACATCCAGAATTGGACCTAAATTTCGATTATAATTATGCACTACTTTGCCAGTTCTGACATCCCATAGTTTGATATTGCCCTTTGTCCCTCCAGAAAGGAAGAGATTTGAATTGTCTGGATGAAACTTCAAAACTCCAACAATTTGATCTTCTCTGAAAACCTGAGTCTCCACTCCCTTTTCAACATCGATCAACCTTGATGTGCAATCATATCCACAAGAAAGTAGAAAGTGCCCTTGTTGAGACCATTTCACATCTTTGACTGCTGCATTGTGGAAGTTTAGAACACATGCTTTCTTCTGATTTCTGCTCCACACATTCCATATGCAAATAGTATGATCCATCCCAGCAGATGCAAGGAGATGAGCTGTAAGCTAACTCTGATGAACAAATCCATACTAGAAATACAAAAAGCATCTCTCTTGCTCTCTCCCTCTCTCACACACACACAAAACACTTTTCAATACTTGATTTTAAATTTATTTTGCTGCGAATAAATGAGTTCTTTATACATTAAAATTGAATTAAATTAGGAAAATTATATAAAAACTATGGTATATCACACATATCAGGGAAAAAGTTTGTCAACAAAGAGAACTTACCATGAGTTGATGACCAATGTATAGCACTGACAGCTTTTGTATGCCCCTGTAGAGTTGCATATAGTTTTTCAGACATCAGGGTTGGCCTTTGATGACCCTTTGCTTTACTTTTCAACAATGATAAAATATTATGGGGTACATCAGCATCCGAGAGACTCCCTAAGTTTACAAACAAGAAAAAGGTCAGAGTAGTTGTCTCTATCAAAGAGTAAAAAAATCAATATAGAAGCACGTAAATAGATAGAAGTATAAAAACATGCAGCACACATATGTCTGAAGAACGTACCAACAAGAAAAAGTATGTGTGAGAGAGAATAAAGAAATTTAAATTATGCAAGCTCATCAATCAGCCAGAGACCGATTGTTACATGTGAATATTCATCTGCTACATGCTTCAAAGTTAAGTAGCTCTTTTTTATTGACCTTCACCACTAGATAGATATAGAAGTGAAGGTCCTTAAATTAAGAAGTAGACCGTGAACTAAAATTAGGGATGGCAAAAACAGCGTATTCACAGGTATCCGACACTACAGATAATAAATGGGTAACTTAAACAAATACTCACAAATAACGGGTACGAGTATTTTTCTATCCATTAATAAATGGAGCGGAGACGGATATGGTAGTATTCATACCCACAGATACCAATAAATAAAATTACTTAAATATTCATATTTTTACCTTATTTTTTTATATTATTGTTAATATTTCAAAAAAATAACATTAAGTGCAAGTTCAAAATTGATGTCAATTGTTTATCTTTAATATTTCAATATAATTAACATCAAATACAAGCTTAAAGTTATTTGCAATACTCTTTTTTTTTTTAAAAAGTCACAAATGTACATGAATATCTATGGGTATTTATAAAATTCGTAGGTACCCACTTAATAGATACCTATGCAGATATGGGATAGATTTTTATCCGGCGGGTGGAGAAGAGACCTCCCATTGCCATCCCTAACTAAGATAGTGGTCATGCCAAACAATTGTTGCATAAGCACAGAACCTGTAGACACAACCAATTAAAAACTAACGATAATATTAAAATAACTTGGGCCCAAATCTCACTGCAGAATTTATTATTATTTTAATACATTTACATTTTGAACTTTTGATTAGTTGTGCTCATTGACCGTCCGCTCATGCAAGAAATACTATAGTCATACCTCCACAGAATGCCAGGAAAAGAAAATCTGAGTGGGATTTATGAAGAAGAATAGGGATAAAAATATAAAGAAAAAAAAAAAAGAGTATCGAAGAAACCAGTTTTGCGTATCTCTTACAGAAAATATCATTTTCATTCCCATACTACTCAAGTATCCATGCCACAACCACGATTTGTTTACCTCCAATGGATATATGATGTTTAACAGATTATGTCTTCTTTTCTTCATCCTTTCAATATATACTTTAATACTTATGACGTTATTACCTCCAATGGACATATAATATCATAACATCACCAATCCCTCATATTACTTTGGACTATGATATATATACATAAAGGCATATCACACAATAATCTCCCTTCCCATCCTCTCCCCCTCAGTCACACACACTCTAGGAGCATTTGTTGGATATGTTAAAATGTCTAAATATGCCAATGGGCTTTATTGTTCCTTCTCATACTTTTTATCTTTGGCTGTATGGCTGAGAGAGGAGGCGATTCTAGGAGACAATAAAATTCAAGAGAGGGAATATGATGAAAGCACCAGCTTATAAAAATTTTTAATAGTGATATTGGGAATGATTAAAAATTATACAATGTTTAAGAATTACCATAAATACAAATGTGATGATAGATATGTTATGTAATATATATACCTAGTTACATCCATATCTTATTGTTTTAAACAAATTATAGTCATAGCCAAGGTTGTCAATCTCGAGAGTTTACATAATCTTGTGGAGGCTCCGTAAACTCAAATCGTAAACTTGTAAGAGTTTACTTAATATAAAATAAATATGTTAAAATACTTATAAATAACATAATAACTAACATTTTAACTTCATATTAAAGTAAAATAGTAAATTGCAATAATAAAGTAGCAAATTTGAGTGGCAAATACATAATTTTGCACAAGACACACTCACAAGTCCTTAAAAATAAAATGATAGCAAATAAAAAACTAAGAAAAGACTAATATATTTAAATCAAGTCTAAAAAATATTAACTATTACGTGTATAGTATATTTCTAGACGATATAAAAAAAAATGGGACACGAGAGAAAAATAAATGGAACAAGGAAGGGAAACGGGAAAGAAAGAACCTTCACTACAAAGAATGATCAACCCTAATGCAAAGAGAACGTGGAGGAGAGAACCTAAACGCATGACTTGGAGGAGAGAACCAGAACACATAGTGCGAAGGAGAAAATCAGCATGCATGGCGTAGAGGAGAGAACCAGAATGCATGACGCAAAGAGGGAGAACACACAACAGAGAGGGAGAATGAGAGTCGCACGACTCATGAGCAGGAAAAATACTTTGTTTTGGGAAAAACCTAAGTGAAATGTGTGTTTTGAGGAGTTTTGCAAGTGAAGTCCGTAATCTCACAATATCGAAGTAAACTCGCGAGATTACCCGAGATTGCACGATTTTGCTCAAGATTACTCGAAAACAAGATTACTAACGAGTTATACAATTATGATCGACCAATCTTGTACGAGTGTACGAGTTATCACTCGAGATTGATAACCATGGTCATAGCTATGAATCTTAGATAGCATTGCATAGCAACCAACTTAGAAAAGCTATAGTAGGATAGCAAGAAGCAGGGCGCCTTCTATTTTAAATATTATAATATTCACCAAGTAATTTATACAATGCATATAAATACTAAAAAACAAAAAAGGACCCAAAATTAAAGAAATTCGTGATAAATAATAAGTCACAAATCACCATCAATCTAGGAGTAATAAGAACATAGTAATGGTACCAAAAATTGAAAGATGATGGTAAAATTAATAATAAAAAAATAACACAACAAATAGCTAAAAAATTAGCAGAATTTGAACAGGAAAGTTTGAAGGAAGAGTGGAACTCAGAAGTCAGGAAAACAAATAGTCCTGTAAATTATGAAGGAACATAGATCTAAACAGTGAAAAAGAAGGTTTTAAAATCCTAAAATGTTTATGAAGGCAAAAAATGGAATAAGAAAATAGGGGAGAAAAGAGAAATCACAACTTTACCCAAGAAAACCATAAACAATGTTGTTTCAGGGGTATAAATTGTTTTGAGGTATATACCTTAATAGTGTCATAATAGCATGCAAAAAACCACCATTTTGGCCAGCAATGACCACTCTTTGCATACCATAGCAACCTAGGGATGACGCGCTACACCACTAACATGCTATTAACTACTATGATTATAGTATTGCCATATAACATTGTATCAGATACTTGAATATGTATCCCCGTTACAGAAGATAGAAGTAACTAAAATTCTAAAACTAAAACGGAAAATAAAAGATGAAGTTCATGACCTGAAACGCAGCAACACAACAAATAAAGGTAGCATCAATTTCATTCCTAAAGCTAATAAAATTCAGAAAATTTGGACATATTTTTAACTTAACTTGTTTTTTTAGTTCCCCTTATTCATTCATCCACCCCTGCAAGTGCAAACCCTAGCCTCTGCAGAGCTCTTTGTCACACTCCTCCACCAGTTTCCAGCACCTCTCACCGTCTCACAGCGCAGCACTTTTCCAGCCAATATCTGGTATCCAGTCTCTGATCTCTCTGACTCTCACCCATTTACAAAACCCCATCACTTTTCCAGCAAGTTCGACACTGTTGTGACCACCCACTAGCATTTCAATTTTGTTTCCACTTCTTTCTTCTTTCTTCTGCCTTCAATCTCTCTTAAAATGTCAAACCAACATCGACTCCTCTCTAATTGGAGCCATTTTTTCCTAATTTTTCATCATATATGCATGTGTACCATAAACCTCTGACAAGGGTTCAAGGTTCAAAATCACGATCATCCATCCCCTATCCACTACCCCACCATAAAATTCTTAGGGTCAGACACTCCGTGCCGCCATTTGGGATTGACTACTTTGATCTATAATAATCACAATTCTGAAAATTGACAGCTCTTAACAAACACAAAAATAAACACTTGAATAAAATAAATAAAAATTGAACCCAACAAACTACGAGAAATCTGAACGAATGAAACAACATACAAAAATGACGAGTACCAGATAGCGTGAACCGAGATGGAACAGGAACGGGTTGAGGAGGAGGAGGAGAAGGAGGGGTTTGAGCCATCAATGCGCGTTGTCGTTTTGAAACGTATCGTCCGGGAATTGGAGGCTGCGTTTGGTGGTCGAATAACGGAGGGGAAGAAAAGTGAAGACGTGGTTTTGGCGGGTTAGAGGAAGAGAGTGATAGTCTCTGTCGTTTTGGCTGTTCTTCGTCGTCGTCGTCGTCTGAGGTATTGGAATATGCGTTGCACAGAAGATCCATGTTCGTACTTCTTCTTCTTCTTCGTAGCAAATCGTAATGGAAAATTTCTCTTCACATACTTCACTTTATAATTAAGATTTAAATTTTATTTAATTGGGTTTAGCTTTTATTGGTTGTCTTAAACAATATTAGTGAGTTTCTCAAGATTGTTTCTCACTCAATCATACAATTTTTATTTTAATCAATCCTTATATATTAGTAAGGGCATTAAGAATTTTAGAATCATATTTGATGATAATGTGTTTTGGAGTCATGTGTTTAAAGGAATTTTTTTAACTTTTAATATAATTTGTTTTTATTTATAATTAAATTTTAATATTTTTAAAATATGTTATAAATAATTAAAAATAATTTTGTACCACAATATAAATTATTTATCTTAAATTTAAAATATAATTTATATGTTTAATGATATTTATTTATATAAATAATTTATTATAAATTTTAAATATATATAATAAATATTTAGTTTAAAATGCTAAAATTCTAATTTTTAAGTTAAATAGTATAATGTCCATAAAAATAATTAAATCAAAAGAGATTTGAGTTTTTTTCCTAAATTTTTTTTGTAGTTTTTTTTTTTATTTTTGTGTAATTTTTCTTTTTTTTTTCTTTATATTAATTTTATTTTTGTACAGCTTGTTAATGACATTTCACAAGTTTCATTTTCTTTATTATTGTTTTTATTGTCTTTCTTTTTTTCTTTTTTTTTTTCTGAAAAGAAGTGGCAAGACTCTAACAAAAATCAATTTAAAATCATAAGGAAAAACAATGGAAAAATAGTAGAAGTTACATCAATGTTAACAACAAGTTCAATGAACAATAAATAACACTATAAACTTGCAAATGCTTAAGAAGAGTTAATCCACGATTCGCCAAAAGATCTGTCACCTGATTAGCCTTTCGACACACATGAGACTACACCAACTTAGAGCCTCCCTTAACAAAAGAAACAATATTGTGGACCACCAGATAGAAACCCACATTTGCAATAAAGGAAAAAACCACTTCTCCACAATTATTTCAAAGCACTCCACGTGCAACATATTTGTTCTCTTTAAAACAAATAGACCCACCACAGTTCAATTTATAAAGATCAATAAGAAGATATGAGTCCAACAAATGGCTAAGTTCTCCCTACAAGGCACGAACTAAACTTGTAATTTTCCAAACTGAAGAATGTTGGTAGTAATACTATCCACCCCTATTAAGATTCACATCTTAACTTTGGAGGATGGGAGAACATGAAAAAAAAAATTGATTTGCCATAAAATATCTAATGCAACCACAAATAAAATAATCCACCACCTAACTTGCACACATAATGACTCCTTCAAATTTATCAATAGCTAGTAACTTCTATTAGCTGAGAAAAAATTGTAATGCAATGAAGTAGGCAGTAACAAGTACCACATAGCTTGAGCAACAGGACAACATCTAAACACATGCTCCAAATTATGTACGATACTTGTAATAAACAAATTTGAACCACAAAGCATCACTACGAGTGCACAATTCTTATCCACATTTCATGAAAAAAGTTATGTTACAATCTTTTGACAACTTTAATCCCAAACCTCCAAACTTTTTGGGATCACAGATATGATTCCAACCAATGGTATGAATTTTCCTCTATTGATTTGTGTCACCCCATAGGAATTTTCTACACTTATTATCCAACTCATCAAGAATATAAAAAAGGAGTTTGGTGGATTGAATAGCAAATATAGGGAGTGCTTGTAGGATTGATTTCACCAAAGTAAGCCTCCCAACGAATGATAGCTGGTGAGCTTTCCAACTACAAAAGACCTTGGCTCACTTTATCCAAAATGAATTTAAAAGAATTTTTGGAAACTCTCTTATGCAAAATCAGGATGTCCAGATATTTCTCCAAATCATTAGTGAAAAAAAAAATGAGTTTTCTCATTGCTCACCTTTTGGCCCGAACACTTACAAAATATAGCGAGCACACATAAAATAACATTTGTTTAGTCTTTATTGGTTTCTACAAAGAGAAGAAGATCATTTACAAATGCTAGGTGAGAAAGCTTGGGAGCACCTCTAACAATCTAGATAGGCTTCCAAACCCCCGTGTCCACATATAATTGAATTAAATGAAACAACCGCTCAATACAAAGAGCAAAGAGATAAGAAGAAATTGGGTATCCTTGCCTCACACCATGATTCATATACTAAACTCTTGAAACACATCCCTATTCCAGAGAACCTGCATTTGAGAAGAAGAGATGCAATGCCACACAAGATTAACAAAATTCTCAAGGAGACCAATATCCACTTGCGTATCTTGAACGAAGGACCAATCAAGTCTATCATAAGCTTTTTCTAGGTCAATTTTGATACACACCCATCCTTTTGTGCCTTTCTCATGCCTCATAGAATGGAACACCTCTTAAGTAATAGTAATATTATCCTTACTTTGACGATTCGAAATGAAGCTAGATTGACAAGGCCCCACCAACTTCTCATCAACGATTTTAACCTATGACATAAAATTTTTGATAACCTTATAGGACACCTTACAAAAACTGATCGCCCAAAAATCTTTAAAGCAAGTCACATGTTCCACTTTAGGGATAAGGGAGATTAGGGTCTCATTAATTGCCACAACTTTTTTGAGGATCCTGAAAAACATCTTGAACTAATTGCACTAGAGTACCCCCAACAACATCCAATTGGCTCTAATAAAAAACTACTTGAAAGCCATCTAGTCCTAATACTTTAAAAACACCTATGCTTCAAACAATAGACTTAATCTCCTATATATGTCACCTCAACACCCAAGGAAATTAGAGAATCATCCCCAAGGGTTAGAAACATACCTTTAACTGCAAACTCTAGAGGCACAAGATCAACAAAATATAACTTTCAAAAATACTATGTTGCTAAATCATTCAAGTAACAGTCCTTAGACACCTAGTTGCCATCTTCATCTTGAATAGTCTCCACCTTACTACATCTCCAATAAATAATAGTGGAACTGTGGAAAAAGTGAGTATTTCTATCTCCCATAATCAACCACTTAGCACGTGATTTCTAGAACCAAAGTAACTCTTCCTGAAATAGAATAGTTTCATATTCTTTCCAAATGGAATACAAACACTCCTCCAACATCACATCTCCACCAACAGAAAGACGTCTATTGATACCATCCATCTACCTATAAAGCCTCATTTTATTCACAAAAATATTGCAAAACACTTTTTTATTCCAAATCTGCAGTTTCTTAGTAGGCTCTAACTTGTTGGACAACTGGTCCACACCTTTGATCATAATTTTATTGCACACACTATGCACCAAACCTTGTGATAGCTTGGCTCACTCAAACTAAGTCCATCAACTTGTTTTTTCCTAATAACCCTTAAAATCATCTCACCAACTTGGGCTTAATCCAAGGAAATGAATCTAAAACTTGGATAGAAAACATCACCCTTGTCCCTTTGCTCAACCTCATCTTTGGTGTGGGCCCTAGTGACAGGAATCTTAGCAATCCCTTTCAATGGACTCTTTTTATTATTTTTTCTTACCAACAACCATGGTCTGTATTCCATGGCACAATCACCCTTAGTATCGATTATGTTGAGCCTTGGATTATCCTTCAACAACTGCTTCTCAACTAATCCCGCTTTGTTAGTCATCTAGTTTGCCACCTTTGGACCCACCATCGAGTCCTTTACAACCATTTAGCCACCAATAAGATCCAACTTACTCATATTTTTATTCGCACCCAAGCCTTCTAAAGGGTTAGTCGACATTACCTTCAACCAAACATGTGCCTCCCCATTATTTGTCCCTTATCACCACAAGATGATTCTTTATGGCCATACTTGCCACAACAAAAGCATAAGAAATGTAAGTTTTTATATTGAAGATTAAGTAGGTATTTGCATGTGGGTAACAACGATATATCAAGGTTAAACTCAACATAAATGCAAGCAAATTGGCCCTATGCATGGATGGATGTGATCTTATCAATCTTATGCATCGTGACTATGGTATAACCCAGCCTCTATAGAAACTGATCATTAAACAATTTAATAGGCAATATTGGGATATCCCTACAAGAAAAATCCTGATTTCCGACGGAAAGAGGTGAATTTCCGACGGATTTTTCTTTTTCCGACGGATTTCAATCCATCGAAAAAAGTGGCGTCGGAAAAAAAAATCCGTTAGAAATAATTTTTCCGACAGAAATTTATCCTTATTTGTGCAATTTCTGGGAAACTTCCCAGAAGGTCACCCATCGCTGTACTACTCCAAGTCAAGCACGCTTAACTGTGAAGTTCTGATGAGTAAGCTACCGAAATGTCTATGTCTATGTATGTTGTCAATATAACTTGTACAAATTAATTCATTTAACTCATCCTCAAATATACAATCGGAAAATTTCGTCAAAAATTTTCGACAGAAATATCCGTCGAAAAAAAATCCGGGTCAAAAATTTCTGACGGAATTTTTCGTCGAAAATTATATTTTTTTAAAATTTTAATAAATTTTTTAATGTAACAAACCTCATATTTGGCTTCTTAAGGATTCTATTTCACGATATTTCACTGTTTAGCGTGTTTTATCCTTACTTGTGCAATTTCTGGGAAACTTTTCAAAAGGTCACCCATCCCTATACTATTCCAGGTCAAGTATGGTTAACTGTGAAGTTCTGATGAGTTAGCTACCGAAATGTATATGTATGTTGTCAGTATAACTTGTACAAATTAATTCATTTAAGTCATCCTCAAATATACAATCTGATATTTGTACTATAATAATAATAATATATAATAATTTTATATTACGAATAATAAATAATAATAATAATAATATATTTAATTATTCTTTATTTATATGTACTTACTTTTATAATTAACATCTACTTATTTTTATTTAAAATTATAATTTAAATTATTTAATTTTATAATTTATAATGATAATATAATTTATAAAATTATAAATATTTATTTATTACATACTTATAAATTAAATTTTAATATTTTAAATAAATTATTAATTAATTTAATATATTTATTTACCTTAAATCAAACATATAAAATTCAAAAAATGTATTTATCCTTTTTTTTTCTAATTATCAACTATTAATAAAATACTAACAAAATCTTATCTAATTATATATCATATTCTCATATCAAATTTAAAACCAGATATTAGTTATACAAAAATATTAAGATCATATAGTAAATTGTCAATAAGATTTTAGTTAAATAATTTAAAATAATTAATGTTTCAATTATATTGTTAATTAGCAAATAATTTATTCTAAAACTAATTAATTTTTTTATACTAATTATTAGTCAAATTTAATAACTTTTAATTTAACAATTAATTGGATCGATGAAATTCAACACACATCATGAGTTATTGAGCGGAATAACTTTACCAAGAGTTATTTTGTAAGTTATCTTAAATCAAACATATAAAATTCAAAAAATGTATTGATCCTTGTTTTATTTTTTAATTATCAACCATTAATAAAATACTAACTTAAAATCTTATCTAATTATATCATAATATTTTCATATCAAATTTAAAACCAGTTCTTACATTTTCGACAAATACAAATTTGTCTGAAATATTCTATTAATAATATAACTTTTCCTACAAAAATTTTCTCATCGAAAATATAAATTTTCCAACAGATTTAATTTTGTTTTATAAGAAATCATCTTCGATTATATATATATATATATAGAGGAGGGTTCAAACGACATCGGTGTATGTAGGAGGCAGCGGCGTGCGATTTCAATTTGGATTGTAAGAAGGAGCAGCTATCTAGGTGTTTATTTGCGCGCGAGAGGGAATTGAATAGTTAGATTATAAGTTATTGTGTTTATATTAGAACAGTTAGATTAAAAGTTGATCAATGGTTGAAAATTTGTGTAACTCTTTTAGAGTTACACCGGTGTCGTTTGAACCCTCCTCATATATATATATATACACACATATATATACAGGGACAGATGCACGTTTGGAATAGTGGGGCACTTGCCCCCACTACTATTTGACATATACATAATTTTTTATCTAAAAAAATAATATATTTTAAAAAATAAAAATTATATTCTAATAAAATAAATATATAGATTCAGAAAAAATGTTTATTTATTTGATATCTGTCAAATTTTTGAAGGAAATTAATTCTCATGTGATAAAAAAAATTTCTTAATAATGAATTAATTTTTAAAAAAAGTTTAATTATAATATATATATATATATATATATATATATATATGTCTTAATATTCACATATATAATGTAATATATTAAAACAAATAATTTTTTGATAAAATAAAATTTGTAGCATGCATGTTTTTCTTTTGTGTTTTTTATTTATTGTATACGTTGATTGAAAAAATCAAAATAGTAAAATTGTATACATTGATTAAAAAAATCAAAATAAGAAAAATCATAAGATTTATATTCCATTTAGAATTGTTATTATAAGATATATTTTAAAATAAATTATCATCTAAAAATATATATTAGATATTAAAAACATATTTATATCATAAATAAATTAAACTTTATTTTTATAAATTTAACATATAGATTTTTATATTTTTAATAGTGTTAAATTATTATAAAATAAGTCTATATGATTGTAGTTCTACCCAAATATTTAAAAATTATCTATGATAGATAAATAAGTCACACTTAAAATATATATTTTTAAAGAAAGTTAGGTTCAAACCAAGTAAATTATAATAAAATATAGTATAACCTAATTTATTTTCATCTTTAATACTAATCGTAGATATAAAAAACTTGTAATAAATAATTATAATATATATTTATACCTTTAAAAGATATATAAAAATTTTAATACTACAAATATATATAAGAAATTAGAAATAATAAATTAAAATAAGAAATTAAAAATAAGAATTAAAAATAATAATTAAAAATAAGAAATTTCCGACGGATTTATAATTCCATCGGAAATTTTTGACGGAAATATAAATCCATCGAAAACTTTTTGTCGAAAATTACCGACGGATTTATTTTTCTGTCGGAAATTTTTGACAGAATTTTTCGTCCAAAAATTTCTATCGGAAATTTCTGACGAATTTATATTTCCGTCAAAAAATTTTGACGGAAAATATCTGTCGAAAAATTCTGTCAGAAATTTCCGACAAATCCATATCCGTCAAAAAATTTCCATCGAAAATTTACATTTTTCTTGTAGCATATTGCTATTTTTCATGCCACAATAGGATTAGCTAAAAAAAAAGGTCTCCAACATTGTACTAGAATATAATGACCTTCCAACATCCAAGGCCTTTCCATTAGAGCATGATAATTATAATCTTCATTAGAAGAAAACAAAACCTAGAAGTAATCCTTACAAACATTAATAATATTTATGTCTCCCTCATGCATCCAATCACAGTTGAGTTTTGCCTCTAATTACCTAAAGCTAACCCTTCTCCTACGAACCTTCACCATCAAAGATCCACGCCAAGGCTTGCACCAGTTCACAAACTCTTCATCTAAAATAAGCAATTATGGATTTTTGGCTACATTGCCTTCTGAGATATGAGAGGACGACACCTCCTTATCTAGTTTCCCAAGACAACATACATCAAAATGAGAAAAAGGGATAGGGCCTTCGTACTCCAAGAGTTTACCCATATACATGGGACCATTGTCACGTGTTTTCTCACCATTAGGCTCTACCCCTAGCTCATCCACTTCACAATTAGGCTTTCTTTTCACTTTACGAGTATTCCTTACCAATAAGTTCATCTCCTCCGTAGGGATCTCGAGGAGAACCCTAGTATAGCTCTTATTGTCTTCCATTTTGTGCAATGCACTAGTTTTTATCAATATTTTATCTGTGATCTCTTTTGTGAACAAAGTTACAAGAAACATTAAATATTTTTTATATAGAATAAAGTTTGTATAAAAATATGTAAAAAAAATCTATTATTTTTAATAAATTAAAAAATTATAATATATTTTGACAAAACTATAGTGAAATTTGTAAATATATATATATATATATATATATATATATACACTTAATGTACAAAATATTTGCATGAAAATCATAAAATTAACAAATGTTAAATATTTTATCTATAATCTCTTTAGTGAATGAAATTACAAGAAACTTTAAGTACTCTTTTATTATACAAAACAAAGTGTTTATGAAAATATGTAAAAAAAATCTATTATTTTTAATAAATTAAAAAATTATAATATGTTTTGACAAAATTATAGTGAAATTTGTAAAAAAAAAAAAATGTACTGAATGTATAAAATATTTGCATGAAAATCATAAATTAATAAAATAAATATTCATAAAAAAATTTTATAAGAAATATCTACAAATTTAAGTCAATGTATTTTTTTATATGCTAGAACTAGAGCATGGAATCATGCAATTCATACGTACGTGAATCATAAAAGGAGTACTTATAGTGTGTTTTAAAAAATATATTAATTTCTTTATGTTAATTTTCACTATAAAAAACTTAGTTTACTATTGTAGAAGAATGACATTAATTAACTCATATATATTAAAAATAAATCTCTATCTTGTATGAGAGTGTTTTTAAGGATTTTTTTTAGAGTTTTAGATTTTTTTTTTTATTTTCTTATCTAATTTAGTTTTTATTTACTATAATTATTTATGAATCAAACTTTAATATTTTTAAAATAAATTATCAATAAATAAAAATAATATTGTGTTACAATATAAATTATTTATCAAATTTAAAATATAATTTATATATTTAAAAGCATCTATTTATAACAATTTAAAATATAATTTATATATATTGAAACATAATATTAATTTATATATATAATTTATTATAAATTTTAAAAGTATTTATTTATAGAACTTTTGTTGTTTTCATGTTTACACACTTGCATTTGATCCCCTGCATGGTGACAAATATTATGCTTTTCAAAATGTTGAGTCAAACATTAAATATCTTGTTTAACTGGTCCAAGAAATAAAAAAAAAACAAAAATTGGGATTATAAACTTACAAACAATATTAATAATCTATGTAAATTGTCAAAGTCGGTAATTCGACTTGACCCATATGAATTAAGAGCGTGTTTGGATTATCATTTAAAATGATGTAAACGAGAATTCTCTCATTCCAAAGCAGAAAAATAAGAAGTAACATTTTGTTGCTTTCACGTTCAACGACCGTTTAAAACTTTTTCACAATAAACTAAACACACTGTAAATAGGTTGACTCACTTAAATTAAAAAAATATATAAAAAAATGATTAAACTTTATAAAAAATATAAATTAATCTTATATTTTAGAATTATGATTATGTTAACAAATAAGACAAATAAAATGTCAAAAAAATAAATAGACATCATCCACATGCAACCAACTTAATCAATTTATAAAATTAAAGTTGTTGCATAAAATATTGACAAATAATAGTAAATTGACACTGTTTATCATAATTCACCACTAGTATGCACAAAATTTAGTAAATGGAATAAATGTATAATTACATAAATTAATATATATTTAATAACCTAAAAAATAAAATAAAATAAAATAAAATAATACTTGGTGAGTCAACCCATGAGTCAACTTGGCTTATCATGGGTTAACTCGTGGTGAGTTAATTGTAAGTGAGTTGAGCCAAAATTTTCTTATAATTGAGAAAGACCAAAATTTTCTAACTAACATGACTCACTCTAATGCAATGTGTATTAGGAATGAGTCATAGAATTTAATAATTTAGATAAACAAGTTTGTATTATTTATTATATCAAACTTATAAACTTAACTAGCAAACATATCAAAATATATAAGTTAAAAATGACAAAGAAGAATGTGATAAACTAACACCAATGGTTTTCATATATAAATCCTTTCAATGTCTGCATATATCTAAATTTAGTATATCCAATTAATTAATTTTGTGAGATTCATCGAGCTTCTAACATTGTAATTGTCACATCATTGGATGAACTTGTATCCTTTTTACTTAAGTGTAAATTTTCTTTAACTACAACATTTCTAGGAATGAAGCCATGTTCTTTAGGCTCAACTAATTCCATGTGGCTCTCCAACATAAGAATAATGGACGCCATTGTAGGTCTATCTTCTGGGTATTGTTGCACACACAAAAGACCGATATGGAGGCAACGTAGTACTTCTGATATAACACATGACCCCTTCATCCTTGAGTCAATCAACTCTAATGCCTTACCATCTTTCCATGTTGTCCATGCCTGTATCATTATAATAAATGATAATTATTTGAATATTATTAGACATACATAAACTGTAAGCAAATTCAAGCTCTTACATGACCAACGAGGTTAATATTCTTATCTGTGTGATAAAGTCCTCTATTTCTCTTGCCACACACAATCTCTAACACTAAAATTCCAAAGCTAAAGACATCAGATTTCACAGAAAATAATCCATCAGTAGCATATTCTGGTGCCATATACCCACTGTAAGACATACATTGCATAAAACACAATTAGCATAAACAGATACATGTATATGTGTGTGCGCGCGCATACATGTGTATGTGTGAAAAAAATAGGAAATGAGATGGTTAATGAGACACTCACTAGGTCCCAACTACTCTACTTGTGTTTCCTTCAATTTGATCTCCTTTGAATACTCTAGCCAATCCAAAATCTGATATTTTTGGACTCAAATTTTCATCAAGCAAAACATTACTGGCTTTGAGATCTCTATGGATAACCCTCAATCGAGAATCTTGATGAAGATACATAAGTCCCCTTGCAATTCCACAAATTATATGTAAGCGTTGAGGCCACCCTAACAATTTACTTTTTGTATCATCTGTATTATTAAAGCAAAAATGTTATTTTAGTAATTTACTTATTTTTCTATGGTTATTCATAATCAAATCTATGTTTCATTCATTTGCATACCAAAAATAAAGGAGTCTAGGCTACCACTTGCCATGTACTCATAAATTAGCATTTTTTCTTGTCCTTGAATGAAGCAACCAAGAAGTTTTACAAGATTTCGATGTTGAAGTTTTGCAATCAATTTTACTTCATTAATGAACTCTATTTCCCCTTGCCATGAGCTTCTTGATAGAGTCTTTACAGCAATTTCTTGTCCATCCATTAATACTCCCTACATATTTATAGTTAAGAAAAGACACTTTGCATTAATATTTAAATTTCTTTATCTTCTTTGGTCAAAGTGTTCGAAACATTATTACCTTGTATACAGATCCAAAACCACCTTCCCCAATCTTATTCTCCATGGAGAAATTATTAGTGGCAATCATAATTGTTGCTAGATCAAACAATTGGATGTCAAGATCATCCACATTTTTTTCATTGTCATCTCGTGTCAATTCATTTCCTACATGAAGAAGGAAAGTCGTCAATAATGCTATGTAAAGTGTGGAAGGAGATTGAAATGGGTAGGAACTAAAAAATGTGAAAACTACAAAGGGAAAAATAAAATAATAATTTTATCTCCTTTTGTTAAATATTTAGCAAGTTATTACATTTAAGACCATATAGTTAGTGAAATTCAATGGCATGTTAAAAATGCTACTTGTTTTGCACTTTGTTGTTAATTGAGGATTAAATCATGATAAATTCCAATTTGCATCACCAATTTCCCTATACTACAACAATACCTCCCTAAACTTCTCTATCATTTATTCTCACAACCCTAACCCCCTCTTTGAACTTTCTTATCCATATCACCTCTTGTGTCCTAACCATCACCTAAAATACCCCGAAAACTTCAAAATGAGCAAAGTGATTCTTTGTTGAACCATCTATTATACGTAAGTAAAGTTTTATTATGAATAAAATATTGTACTTCATATCATACTTTTCATTCTCATCATTTATTATTATTGTGATGTCATTTATATAAACTAAAGTGTTATGCTTTTTTTATATATATATTTTTTTATAATGAAGTATAACTCCGTTCTATCTAATATACTCTTAAAAAAGTAAAATATATGATACTTTCAATTAAAATTATATTCTTAAAATAAGGATAAAACCTCAATCTTTAATTAAAAAAATAGTGTTAAATTATTTATTTGAGCTAATGAATTTTAGTCAAAAGTGGTGTGTTTAATAAAGAGGATGTTTTCATTTTTTTTCTTCATTGTATCTAATAAAAGGGGTAACTTATAAGTTGACACACACAAAAAAGCCCAATGTAGTTGGACTTGATTGGCTTGATATTTCTTTTTAAAATTACATTTAAAGTTATAAAGAAAATAATAAATAAAGTGGCATACTCTATCTCAGTCTCTGACAGGCTAGCAAACCCGTTCGATCGAGTCAGCAAAAATATGGCATATATATAAATGTTGGGTCAGGCGTTTTGTGGACTCTAATACAAAAAGGAAATTAAGAACTATCTAATGACATGTCCAAATAAATCCTCTTATTTAAGACACTTCAAGGAAAATGACTTACATCTACGAATGTTTTATTTTTATAAATATAATCAAAAACAATTTCTACCTATATATAAAAAATTAGTGTAGCTAAAACTCAAGTATATATACTTGTACGTTGTAAGAAAAAATTAAAGACAGTTACTATACAACTTACATAACCAATAAATAACTTATTTGTAAATTAATAAATTTTTAACTTTTAATAACAAAATTTTATCTATCACTACAACTCTATTTTCGTGTAGGTAATAATTGTAAGGCGACAATCCTAATAATTATATTTATAGCAAATATCATTCTAATAATTTATATTTCTAATTTCCTATTTACTTGCTGCTCTACGAGTCATATACAGAAAATTGCAATTCAATAAAATTTTGGGCAAACAATTATTTACCTGCACTGCTCCTCCGGAATCTGCAAATAAAATAAGTACTTAGTATAAGAACCCCACAGATTGCAGCAATGGTGGAAGCAACTATTGTTGGCGTGTTCTTCTTGTGGCTAGATACAGGTTCTTGAGGGTTGGAATCAATAATTAATTATAATAATAAAACAAACAAATAAAGGCTAAAGTTAGAGTGATATTGAGTTTTCAAAAGTTTCAATTAAAATGATAAGATCAAAGTTGTTGGTGCTTACCTAACTCAGAAGCATCCATCCTGATATATAGATCTTGGCCACCAGTTTCAAACTGTTTCAAGTCAATGAGATCTCCAAACCACATGACACAACCATTACCTCTACCTCTAATATCTGAATTAGTAAAGGCCATGCAAGAACAATTATTCAAGCACTTGACTCTACATTCCTCTAGACCAATACTCTCATCCAACCAAGTATGTGTAGTGTCTGGAACTTTGAGGCCTTTAAATTTCACAAACCCTTCTGTGAGTTTGTGTTTGCAGTTTAATGGTTTATTGCGTACACATCCTTGACTCCACCCAGATGAGATCCATGCTTCTGGTGACTTTGGTCTGAAACCTTTCAAACATTGGCAGGCTTGGGATTGAGTACTTAGGCAGTTCCCGTAGGGTCCACAGAGGCCATAAGTGTCACAAAACTCCAAAGGGAAGGATCTATATGTCCTCCAATCTCCATCATCCTCCACCCATACATAGCGATAAATATAACCTGTTTGGTTTATTACAGTTCTGGCGATGGTTATGTTACTGAAGATGCTAAAGGAGCTGTAAACTTCATCCTTATTGCTGACAAAACTAATGCCAAAAATGGTGTTGTTTTGTAGACCTGGTATTCCACTAAAGTACATGCCATTCCAAGGACCAAACCGGGATAACTTTTGTGTTCTCTCCAATGTATACATATCAGGATAGCTACAGTTATTCATAACATAATAACCATTTCCAAGTGATGGATCATCTGAACTCTTCCAAGATGTTAGTCTTCGTTCCAAACCGGTTCGGAGGTCCCATCCGATTTTCATCTCTGGCAAAACTGTATCAGATGGATAATCAAAACTTTGCCACAAGTACGCTTCTGGGTTTGTATCTGCCTCATTTCTTATCACAAGATTGCCACTGTCCAAGAGCTCTACCACTGGATTCTGTGCTTGTTTGTGAGAGTTTGTGCACCAAACAAGAGACCCGTTTTGAGTGAGAACAAGATTTCCTGTGGAGTTCACTGTTAAGATGCCTAAGGAATCATTGATAGGGTTTACCCTATTTGCAACCCAAACAACTGTCTGAACTGGGATATTCTTGTACCATATGCCTAGGTAACGTTTCTGGGAACTACCTGGATTGAAAAAACCAAGTTCGAACTTTCCACCTTTTGACACCAAGGTCTTCCCATCTCTCAGGGACTGGAGCACGTTGATAGAATCATTTGCTACGGAGATTTTGAGAGAAAGAGAAAGTATGCATGCAAATAAAATCATGAAAGGAAGAATGTCCATTGAGTAACACGAAAATGTATTGATTATATGGATTGAGCCAATTGTATTATAAACACGAAAATGGGAAGTTGAAGATAAGGTTTGAGTGCTTGATTTACGTGTGTTTTGGTTAAGTATTCGTTCTAAATTGACTTTGAGTCAACCGTGTACCCCATTTTCTTCATGTTGTCAATTTGCATTAATGTTCCCAATTAATTCACATCGGTTGTCACCTCTTCCAGCAAGAATCGTTCTTAGGGAACTAGCTATCCACCATCTTTTACCTATTGTTATTTATACTAATAATCTATACTAAAAATAAGACAATCTCATTTGGCTTTTACATTAGTTTTTTCTTTTTTTTTTTTATCAATAATTGCACAAATATTTCTCGAGGCCGTAGTGTGTTGTTGTTGTTTTTTTTACATCAATTACGAAAAAAATATATATATATATATATATATATATATATGACATTCACTTATTTTAAGAACAAAGTTTTGATAAATTTATTTTTTTCAATAATTCATGTTTTACATCAAAATTCAATGATTCAATTATTTAATTAAAGTTTTTAATGTATAAATCAAATCTCAAAATTTTCTTAAAAAAATTAAAAATTATTTAATATTTTATTATTGATTTAAATTGAAGGATGATTATAAAAATTTGTAAACTTGATCTATATATATATATTAAAAATTTAATTTAACGAGTAATTTATTAAAATTTAATATAAAATATAAATTTTTGAATAAAGTAAGTCTTAAAAACTTACTCTTAAAATAAGTATATATATATATATATATATATATATATGTGTGAATAAAAGAAAAATAATGACCCACAGCATATGAAGGTTTGACCGAAAAAAGGTTAGGCCAAATATTTTCTAAGTTGATTGTTTCGTCTGTTTACTATATTAGTTTGATTAGAAAGGCACTTCAATATATAAAAGTAAATTACTTTTAAACTTTGGAGAAATAAATATATACCAAAACGAAAAATTAGATGATAAACAGAAACATGTAATTTACCCTGTATTTTATTGCTTTCCTTGTAATATATATATTTTTTATGTATGTTAATTCTTTCGGAGCCATTTCCTTACTATGTTTCATGATCCAATCTTTGTAAGTTTTGTTTAGTACTAGAATTGATTTAATACTCATATTTGCGATATTAAAATAATACTTTAGAAATCATGTCTTACAAGCATTAATTAATATTAATTCAACTTCAAAATACTATTTATCTATTAAAAAAAATTTCGTAAGCATTTAACGTTATAGTAATAATTTGTAGACTTCAAAATTTCAAGACATTTAGACGCTCATTTTGTCTGATAATATATACCGTTGTGTTGTAGATAATTTAAAATTAAAATATGTGAAAGGGCTGAGTATAAAAATAAAGGTTATAAAACTGATATGAATTTAGACATTCAGGTATTTGTATTAATAGATAAATAAATTAATTCATTAATCACAATGATGAGTTTATTAATATTTAAATAATTTAAAAATATATATTTTATTTTAAAATTAAAATGACATTCTTTCAAAATATCAATTTAGTCTCATTTTGATGAAAAATATGCTTCCAGTGCTAGAAAAACCCTTTTAAGCTTTTGTTTCATGTTCAATTTTCTTGAAATATTAAGAGAACACAATCATTAATAAGTTCTCTTTTAAGAGAAAATTAATGTTAATGGAAAACTATATCCTCTTTTATTTATCACAGAGATGTATTAGGAAAAGGAGAATAGACATGACAACTTTATTTTTCAATTAGTTAAATGCTTTTAAAAGAAATATTCAAATTAAATTAATTTTTTCTTACAATAACATTATATTTGTTAGACTTTAGAAATAATTAATGACACTTAAATCATAAAAAAAATAAAAATTTGAACAGCGCAGGAATAAGTAGGAATAATTAATCGAACTCACTATAGGATCACAATAATTCATATATACTATTAATCAAACCAATTGAGTTAAAATATTTAACCTCTTAATATTATAAATGTGAAACTTTAATTTTAATCCTTACATTTTAAAAGATGAAATGTTTAAAATGATGACGGGTAATTATATGTTTTAGAAATGATTTAATAATTAAATTAGGTCAATTTAATTTCATTAGAAAATGAATTGAATGTTTATACATTTTTTTAATGCAAAAATGACTATTATACACTCCCACCGTTTGAGATATAACCTAAAAAATTTCATGAATAATGACCTAAATACAATTTTTTTAATTGATTTTACTTTATTTTATGCTATAATTTTTAAAATACTTTTCATATAATTGAGTTTCTATTTTCAATTAATTTTTTTTTATATTTTTGGTAGAAATAAATATTTTAATTAATTTTAATAAAATTTAATAATATTAATAATTTTTTTAATTAACTCATAAATTATATAATTTTACTTATATTTGAGTAAAAAAATTTAATACGATCAATGATATTATATAGTACTAACTTTATCTTATCATAAGTGTTATCTTAAATTATTTTACGCAAATAAAAAAATCTAATAAATAGATGAAATAAAATAATAACTTTATAAAATTAACTTTTATTAAAAATGATATACCAAAATAATTATTATTTTTAAATAGTATTATTAAGAATATAAATAATAAATAAATAAAGGATTTTATATTAAAAAGTCTACTTTTAAAACTTATTTTTTCTTCTTACTTATGATAATTATTATAGGAACCGAAGTATATAGTATATTATTTTTTTTTCCAGTCTTTAATACGTGACATGGTCAATGAACCGAAGTATATAGTATATTATTTTTTTTCCGGTCCTTAATACGTGACATGTGACATGGTCAATGATGTTTTATTTCTTTTGTCAAACTTTATATTATTGATATCTACCTATCACATCTTTCATAAAACACATTTAATTAATATCAACAACTTTATACTACTAGTACTAGTCAATGGGGTGGGGAATTCATTTGGGTCCGGAATCAATACTATCCGAAACAAATCAAACAAAACATCAAATGGTTAAACCAAATCCAAACTTAAAAGTTTTTACTATCATTTAAAATATTCACAATTAAACCAAACTTATCACTTGGATTTGAATATAATGGTTCACCATTAATTCTAAAAGGTTTGCACCATATAAACCAGTCTATAATACAATATTTTAAATTTAGTTTAAAGGAAATTAAAAAGAAAAAGAAGTTAACGATGACAGACGTCTACATTTAAATGTCATTATTAAAGAAAATAAACCAGTTTACCATTGCAATTCTACATTATCCCCATTTTTCATACTACACAAAATACTGACCCCAATTTGTTTGACTAGTTCTCACAACGTTTCATCACACTATCTTAAGACGTCATAGAATATCAATTTATGTGGAGTCGGCTGTATGAAGACTTTGGAAGTTTAATTTGATTATACTTCTATTTTAGTACGGAGAACGTCTAAGCTTTGTTCTAACCACTTAATATATAAGACTTTATATTATTGCATAAAATAAGGTTACCTAATATATTATTTTGATGTCAGAAAATATGGACCAAGTCTTATGTGACCTTTATTTGATTAACTAAAGCAAATCTATTTCTTGATTTTTGGTTTAGTCAATCAAGGACGCCTTGGCATCCACCTTCGTTAGTTTCCACCCTTAATTAGAACTACTTCTCCAATTACCTAGAGACACGAGAACACTTGACACTTGCTTATTGGCTCTTCTAGATCTAGTTCTCTCTTACATGTCTCAAACATGTCTCCTAGAACTTGTTTGTGATTGATGGAACTAGATCTAAGTGTCTCCTTGTCTCCTAGATGTCTAGCTTTCTCTCCAAGCTATCTCAGATTCTAGCTTCTTCTCCAAGCTACCTAAACTTTATATATAGATGTTTGGAATCATTTGTACACAACTTTGATCATATTATAGAGACTTGGTCGAAATTCTTCTTCAATTCTCTTTCTCAAAAGCTTAAATCTCTCTTTGGTTTACTTCCAATTCTCTTACTCTCTTCTTAAGAGTATGGTGATATTTAAAGTGGTTTATCTTCCTCATTGTGGCGCCACTTGAAGAGATTTCTTCACCATTGAAGGCGATTTCAAAGATTTCCTCTTTCATTCGAGACCTTGAAGAAGTTTGGGGAGTTTCAAGAAGAAAAAGATCTAAAAAGAAACTTGAAGGAAAAGCTACAGCTATCTAGTTTCTCCTAAGGTTTCCATCAACATATATTTGAACTATAATGAAATATGTTTTAGACTCTTTTCCAAAGAGAGTCACGTCAACTTTTCCTTTCACAAAATCATTACTAAGTAAAAAAGTTACTTGTCTTTCATACTAAGCTCTTGGAGCTTGTTTCAAACCATAAAGAGCCTTTTTGAGTTTGAAAATGTGTTATCCAAAATTAGGATTTTCAAAACCTAAAGGTTGTTTGACATACACTTCCTACTCAATTAGTCTATTTAAAAAGGTTTTCTTTACATCCATTTGAAAAAACTTTGTTTATGTGAGCTGCAAAAACTAACATGATCTTAATAGCTTCAAGTCTAACAACATAAGCAAAGGTTTTAGTGAAATCAATACCTTCCTTATTGTATCCTTGAGCTACCAATCTAGTTTTATTCCTTACCACTGTATCTTGTTTGTTTAGCTTATTTTTGAATACCCATCCGGTTCCAATCAGGCTTTGGTGTTCAAGCTTTAGTATTATTGTCCAAACATCATTTTGTTCGAATTAATGGAGCTCCTCCTCCATGGCAATGATTCATTCATTGTCTCCTAATGCTTCATCTATGTTCTTTGATTCTATTTTGGAAACTAGAGCACATGAAGTATTATCTCTAAGAGCAGATATGGTCTTGATACCTTTAGTCTTATCACCAAAGATTTCATCTTAAGGATGATAATTGATGAACTTCCAGTCTTTATGAGGTCTGGTGGATTTGTTTACTAATTCATTTGTCCATTAGGAGAATCCATCATTTGATTTGTAGCATTTGGTTCTTTTGTCTAATCTCCTCTAATTTTCAAATTCGTAAAGTCTTCTTCTACATTTGATAGT